AAATTACTCTGTAGCCTTGCGGGAAGTCCAGAGTAAGGCAGTCCGGGCCACACTCGGCGATGCCGCGGGGGAGCCAAGCTCGGGCATCTGCTCGCTCATCCAGCCTTACTTGTTGGCTTGATGCAAAAAGGGTCCTGCCCCTCCAGCCTCCCCTCTGCCTTTCAGGCAAAGGGAGAAGAAAAGAGAGTACAGCTCCCACTTTATCTAGAGTATTTCCTTCTGGTCTCACTGGCCAGACCTGGGTCGTGTGGCTGCTTCCGTGGCTCCAGGAAGCGAATCAGGGAACAGGCTTGTCAGAGTCTTAGATCCATGCTGACTCACTGTCTGAGCACTGGTACTCTGACACCCTAAATAAAATCGGGGTGTCTTAGGGAAGAAATGAGGGAGAACGAGTACCGGGTAGGCCATTCACGGTGTCTGCTGCATGTGATGTCAATGATAAACTCTGACAAAAGCAAGACGTACAGGAGAGATTCATTCATGTGTGGAAATGGCTACGTTTGCACGGTGGTATTTCTGACCAGGAGGTTCTGCGGGGCCTGGGTCATTGGACCAGCAGATAATTTCTAGAAGGGTGATCAGATGCTCAGACCCTTTGCTACTCCTGTGTCCTTAGAAATGACCTCATGTCTCTGAGAGATGGAATCGAGCCCTTAGTCAGGTAGTCGCGGAGTCCAGATTGGGTAACAGTGGTCATTATTTTATTAACAGGCATCTGCCTTGTGCTCTACGAGAAGAGATTTGGGCTCCTCCAGAAGAACGCCGGGGATGAAGCCTTGAACTTCATCATGGCCATCAAAACAGTGAGTATCCACAGGGGAGAGCGCCGTGTTCCCAGCAGATCATTCAGGCATCACAGTTTCCCCAAGAGGGGCATGCACACAGGTCTTATTACAATAGTGCATTTCAGTGTGTGCGATATATTTTCGGGCATGGATGTGCCCCTGTGCACATATAATAAAGAAGTACATTAGACTATTGTTTAGGCAAAGTGAAAGTAGGTGGTTAATTAAAGGTCAGTTGATTAAGTTACTGTTCAGATTTTAAAGTTTTGAATCATTTGGGTTGTGTGTGGATATAATAGATACTGTGAAACTGGCATGGGAATGGCAGAAGTTCAGAAATTCAAGTGAGTGTAAGTTATAGTTACTTTTTCCTTATTTTTAAAATATATTTGCATTGATTTCAGAGAGGGAGAGAGAAACATGAATGATGAGAGAGAATTATGGATCAACTTGCCTCCTGAGCTCCCCACACTGGGGATGGAGCCTGCAACCCCGGCATGGACCCTGACTGGGAATTGAACCATGACCTCTTGGTTCATAGGTCAATGCTCAACTACTGAGCCACGCCAGCAGGGCTCCTTCTTTCTCAACATGTGGGTTATACGAGCAAGTTGTTATTAAACTCCATTGAAAAATCAATCGTCCCAAAGATGATTTTGAATATGTTACTGGGGGTTCGGCTTCCAGGAGCAGAGCACAGGGGCCTGGGGGTGTCCTTTGAATTCTGGCCTTTGGGGAGCACAGGGTGCCGTGTGCAGATGCCCCTAGACCTGAGTGAAAGTTGTCTGGGAGAGAAACGGGGATGAAAAGCACGTGTGTTCCTCGTAGATGATGAGCACATTTGGGAGGATGATGGTCACCCCGGTGGAGCTGCACAAGAGCCTCAACACCAAGGTGTGGCAGGCCCACACGCTGGCCTGGGACACGATTTTCAAGTCAGGTAACAGCCACCCCCAGCGCTGTCTCCCGCTGCCGCCCAGAGGCCTGCAGTGACCTTGTGGCCTGCCCCCCTAGATCCTCCGGTGGAGTTCCTCTTCCTGATTCTTTTGGGCTTTGCAAACACAAGTGTGGGGATCACCCTGGTGTAGACAAATTCCAAGGAAAAGGCAGGAGGCGGCGTTGTGTTGTCTTGGGGAACTAGAAGTGGTTAAAAGCAAGAGCCTTGGAGTCGGAGATACCTGGGTTCAAGCTCCCGGTCTGTCACTGGGGTGGCGGGGTGGCCCAGGGTGCTGTCTCCTTTTCATCATCCGCTGTCTTACCTCTAAAACGGGCTCACAACAGCAACAACAGCAACAACAACAATAATAATAGCGCTCCCCTCAATGTAATTGTTTCTAGGTCTAATATAGAGAATGTAAAAGCCTGGTATATGACAGTATCTCAATGGATCAGAGCCATTTCTGCTACATTATGGAGGGGATATTTGATGCTAGGGGTTATCCTAAGATAATATATTATATATATTTAAACATACTTATTTAATTCCCACCAATAAACTTATGTTAGATCCTTCCATCAGCCCCAAGTACTAACAGAACTGAGGCACCAAGAAGTTAAGTAACGTTCTCAACATTACACGCCCGGTGATGGCAAAGCCAGGGTTGGAAGCCAATCAGAAAGGCTCCCGCAGCTCAGCCTCCAGCCCCTGTACCACTAGTGTCGTCATTGTCATTGCCACCATCACCACTATTATTTCCTTGGTGGTGGCTCACGTCAGGGACTGAAGTGAGGGAGGGCAGCCTAGAATGTAATTTACAAACATTAGAAAATGTTAGTATTATTGTCAACATTCATGGGCACTGCACGTGTGTCTGTGTGTGTGTGTGTGTGTGTGTGTGTGTGAGTTCTTCCCTCCTCCGTAGCCAAGATTTGGGAGCCACACCCTATATTAGCATGTCTGCCTGTATCAGTGACCAGATCAGCTAGACACCTGGGCCTGATTCTGAGAGTGGACCCAGATCCCACCTGTGTCATAATGGTCTCCTCCCTGCTCTAAGCTCTTGCTAGTCAAGATGTGACCACAGATCAGCAGCAGCAGCATGACCCGGAGCTTGTTAGAGATGCAGACGTCCAGGCCCCCTGGACCCTCAGTTCTGAATCTGCATTGTAGGAAGATGCCCAGGTCACGTGAGCATCCATCCATCCTGGATGACTCAACGAGGCAGTAGGAGCTCATCTAACAATCAATGTCCCCAAAAGCCCTTTCGGGTGTTGTAAGGATTTCATCTTAGGTTCCCTCCCTCCCATTCTTTTCCTCACCCTAATGTTCAGCTGACTTCCTCTCCCTCTTCTCTTCAACAGTCAAATCTTGCATTGACCACCGGTTAGAGAAGCACGCGGAGCAGCCCAGCGCGGACTTCCTCTGTGACATTTACCACCGCAATCAGCTCTCAAAGAAAGAGCTGTACGCCGCCGTCACCGAGCTCCAGCTGGCTGCCGTGGAGACGGTAAGGGTGGCGGCTTTCTTTGCTAAATAGTCTGGGACACCTTTCATCACGATGAGTTTTAAATAGCCATTCAATTCACTCATTTCATGAGGATTAACTGAGCTCTAGCTGAGAAAAATAAAAAGTCACATACCAGGTGCCGTGGGAGACCCAATGCACAGGCTTTCTGCTCACACATTAAGAGGAAAACTGTCCTAATGACTCTGTCCTAGTGACGGAACTCCAGAGCAGGGTCTAAGCTCTGCGATAAGCTTACCAGCTGTCTCAGGAATGCAGAAGCAGTAATTCCACACCACAGAAATTGAAATTTTAGATTTTAAAAAACTGGACATGCCTTAGGTGGTCGTGCATGCTACCTAACGGTGGCTGTTATTTATTATAAAAATATTGAATCTCTGCCAGTCCAATCATTTCTTTATGTTTGACATTGGAAACATGGTGAGTTTGAGAAACATTGATTTTAGTTTAACCGAAACAGCTCCTTTTTAATATCAAGATTCCGTCCCTGCTGTAGGCGGTGGACGCTCCTGGTAGGTACTCGTACAGTCAGGCTCCAAACACAGATGCTGACAAGCGTTCAGGTGGGTTTACCTGGCTTTGACTCCTTGCTGAGCTCTCCTTGGAGTCATGCAGATTAATATTCCTCAAAGGCCTAACATTTCCTGCACAAACAGTCCCTAAGAAGAATCCATACAAGTTCACTTCTTTTTCATGCTTTTCCCCTTTCCACAGTGTCTCTTATGTGAAGAAAAAATATAGCATTTTCTACATCAGGAGATAGAAAGGTTCTGATTTCACCTCTTGACCCAGAAGGCTATCAAAAGTGGGAATCCGTTTCAGCTCACTTTCCTGTGGGATCATGACTCCTTAGAGCGAGTAAAACTAAAGCTGCACCCATTTCTTTGTTCAACTGGAACATGAGCTCCATGAGGGTAGTGACTTGGTTTGGTCCCCTGCTGTATTCATAGGATGTAGACTACCACTTGGCATACAGTAGGTGCTCAATAAATGTTCAATAAATGAAAGAGTTCAGGGACTATTGAGTTCCTACTATGTGCCAGGCACTATTCCAGATTCTTGACATGCCACCATGAACCAGTTTTCTTCATGGGACTTAAACAGCAGTGCGGAACAGACAATAGGTATGTAAACAAACAAATACATAGGATTATTTCAGATAGTGGTATAGGCATAGGGGGAGCCATCAGGGTGATGTAAGAGAGATGGGGGAGGGCTCCCTCTCTGGAGCTGACACTGGCATATTGAGGTGCCAACCATGGGAAGATCTGGTCGAAGAGCACTCCAAGTAGAGGAAACAGCACATGCAAAGGCCCTGGGGCAGAAAGAGAGATGGAGCTGGAGAACTAGCAAATGTGCTCAGAGTTGAGATTGGAGAAGTCGACGGGCCATGTTAACCAGGAGCCTTCGTAGGACATTTGGATTTTATTACACCTTCGAGTGCTTTAAGCAAGGAGTGTCTTGATCAAATTTATGTTTTGTGAAGTGGGCTCTGGCTGGTGGGTGGAGGTGGGTGGAGAGTGGACCTAGTGGAGACAGAGTGCAGGCAGGAAGCCGGCCATGAGATGGACGCCGTGACAAAGGTCAGGCCAGGACAGTCGGTGCCCGGGAGGTTCCGCAGGCCACTTCCCCTCCACTTAGCCCCCGCAGCTGCCCCGACAGGCAGGGCTGTCTCCGGGCTTTGGTGAAAGCTACAGTTATCTGCCTTTTGGAAACTCTATTTGGTACTTGTGGTGAGGGCCTCACTGATAGGGCTCAATCTGTTTCTTTTTTAGGCCTGGCTATTCTGAAAGTCTCCTTTGGCAAATCGGGGAAATCTGAAATCTATCTAATTTGGCGGCTCCGCCCCCTTCCTGTCTGTAACTTATTCTCTGGTACTAATGCCATCCGTCCACATTTGGAGGCGAGGCTGCCAGTCCCCTGACATGAAGAAGCCTGCCTTGGGGACATCTTCTTCCAAAAATAATAAACGCCATGGCTCCAAACCGTCTTGCGCTTTGCTCGTTCATGTGCCTGGCACATGTGCCGAGGGAGAGCGTCTTCGTGTCTACAGAGCGAGGACACGATGACCACTTGGAAGGGACTACTTGGCTTAAATTGGCTAAAAAAAGGCCTACAAAACAAATACTTAGGACTAGCAGCGGTGAATATTACGAAGCTAAAAGCTGCACTTGGCTGTTTCCGCCAAAAGGAAATCAAGGGTGCCACTTGGAAGGCAAGAGCCTTTGTCAGACTGTGGCCGGCACCTTGAATGACGCGGCTCGGTGCTACAGTTTCTCATCTGGGTGTTGGCACCGTCCCACAAGGGCTCTTTGCATGTGGCTGGAACCCCGAGAGTAGATAATACCTTTATATTTTTGTGGTAAATGTTTAGGGTGTGGCAAAAAAACACCACTTTTCTTTTAAATTCCAGAAATACGGTTTCTTTTGTGTTTGCGCTGTAAAAAGAAAAAATTTAAATCTCTTATAGCAAAACTCTGGGATCTCTGTTCCTCTCTCCCCACTCAATTTTCATATCAATTTTATATTAATAATCCTCTAAGTAAGCTCTTTTTCTTTTGAGATCATTATAGATTCACATGCAGTGTCCTTCCCCCGTTGGTAGCACCTGGCATGACAATAATCCTGTCACACCCTGACATTGGCCTTGAGCCAGTCCACCCGCCTGGCTTCCCTTCCACCGGTTTTACATGCGATCCTTTGTGCTCCAGCCTTTTGTGTACCACACTCTATTCCCAGTGTCCCGATGTGCCAAATTACTGACAGGATTCTATTTTCGTTCCCTCAATACAGACACTAGCCTTCGTTGATACGTTTTATAAGATCCATTTGACTTCCCATGCGTGGTATTCATTTAAGGCACAGCACACGAGGGCATGCGAGAAATTACCACTGACCTGTTTGTTGTTTACTTTGCATCGCCTTGCGTCCGGCTCAGACTGGCTGTGAGGCGGTTTCTTTGCAGAAACTCAAGCTTGTGTCTGTTGGTTTTTCAGACAGCAAACAGCTTGCTGTGGCTTCTCTACAATTTATCCCGCAACCCCCACGTGCAAGAAAAGCTCCTGGAGGAAATTCAGAGCGTCCTGCCTGAGAATCAGGTGCCGCGGGCAGAGGATGTGAGGAATATGCCATATCTAAAGGCCTGTCTGAAAGAATCCATGAGGTAAGCGCACACGCCTGAGCCAGGGTGCATACGGGAGAGCGCTGTTCTCTTAAATACACAATAAGGGGGTTCCCCCCAAGTACAGCTCCCACAGTTGATCCTTAAACTTTTATCAAACTGGAAAAAAAGAACCTCAGGAGCATATTCCATTTCTTTCACTCATTCCCTGAGTCATTTGGGCGAATTCTGTGACATCTTGGAAAGTCAGTGACGGGCCCTTTAAGTCGGTGAGAACCATCCTCTCATGGGTGCTGTGAGCACTCATCAGGGTCTGGGCAGGCCTGGAGGGTCTGACATGAAAGCCAGCGAGGGAACCATATTATTATATGATAGACATAGAGACATCTTTATTATTGAGCCTCTGGTATAAAATATCCCCGAAGCCCTGATCAGTGTTCTCAGTGGTTAGAGCATCGGCCCACACACCAAGGAGTTGAGGGTTCGATTCCTGATCAAGGGCATGTACCTGGGTTGCAGGTTTGATCCCTGGCCCTGTTCAGAGCCAGTGTGGGAGGCAACCAATCAATGTGTCTCTCTCACATCCATGTTTCTCTCTCTCTCTTTCTCTCACTCCCTCCTTCCCTTCCATTCTCTCTAAAAATCTATGGAAACATATGCTCAGGTGAGGAGTAACAAAAAAATAAAATAAATAAATAAATTATTAAAAATGTCCTTTGAAAAATCTTTTTACACCCTTTCTGGGAGACAAAACTCATTCCATGTTAGGATTGAAAGGAAATATCTTTAACTTTCTGAAGAGTGAGTAGGAGAAGCCTAGAACAAACACCAAGATTCAGGGGGAAGGCATTTGAAGTTTAGGCTGAAGCAGGGGAAACCACTCTGAACAGCTACTAAGCAGGCTTGCTCCGGGGGGAGGGGGTGCCAACCCAATAAAATAAGGAATGAAAACAGGAGACAGAACCTCTTTACGAAGAACTGTGACCAGGTTCCCCTTTGGGTTTAGAACTTAATGCAGCAACTCTTCACGTAAGCAGAACGCGTTCCCATCAACACTGGAGCCAGCGCTTGGCCTGTGGCCGCCTGTGCATCTTTGATTTTCTTTTCCAGGCTCACCCCCAGTGTGCCGTTCACAACCAGGACTCTTGACAAGGCCACAGTTCTGGGTGACTACGCTTTACCCAAAGGAGTGAGTAGACTTTGTTTATTTTGTCCCTTACAGAGCTTTGAAATATGCATCCGGTTCCCCAAAAAACATCAACAGAGAAAACATTCATTTTGCAAATAAGTAGATTGTAGTGCATGGTTGACATGTGTTGCATCATATAGTGTTAGGAATAATGCCTCAAGTATGGACCCGAGTGAGTCATATAACCTCTGGGAGCCTCACCGTTCTCATCTGTAAAATGGGGATAATAATAAAATCTATCACCTGGGGCTGTTGTGAGAATGTGATGCAGAATATTAAAGTTATTTACTGATTTAGTACCTGGCACATTTCAAGTCTCCCATGCATATTGGCAATCGTCATGATTATAAACTTATGGGTGACTTTTATATCTCTAAGGTGGCCGTTTTTGTTAAGTTTTGCTTTTCCACCACCTTCTTCTGCTTATTTTAAATGCATGCGTTTTGATGTGTTTGCAGACAGTGTTGATGCTAAATACCCAGGTGTTGGGGTCCAACGAGGAAAATTTTGAAGATGCCAGTCAGTTTAGGCCCGAACGATGGCTTCAAGAGAAAGAGAAGATCAACCCCTTCGCACACCTCCCGTTTGGCGTTGGGAAGAGGATGTGCATCGGACGCCGGCTGGCTGAGCTCCAGCTCCACCTGGCCGTCTGCTGGGTAAGCCCTCCCTGCCTCCCGCACGTGTTCTGTGCTGCTCCACAAGGCGGGGCAGGGGGCTCATCCTCCTTTTCGTGCACCTGTGTTCCAGATCGTCCGCAAATATGACATCGTGGCCACGGACCACGAGCCTGTGGAAATGCTGCACTTAGGCATCCTGGTGCCCAGCCGGGAGCTCCCCATCGCCTTCTGCCAGCGATAAGCAGCCTCAGGTGAGCGCCTGGGATGCTGTGCATGACAGGGGTGAGCCGAGCCCAGAAGTCCGCCAGACCCGGGCTTGAATCCCTGCTCCCCACCAATTCCCTGGATGACCTTGGGTAGTTACTTAACCGTTCTGCCTCCCTTTTTAATTTTTCACTTGTAACACAGGAACCAAAGTAGTATTCATCCAGAAGGTTGATATGGATAATAAATACTTAGCCCAGAGCCTGGCATCAACTAAGTGTTCAAGTCATGCGCGCTGCTGTCCAGTTTTTGCATTTAATATCACGGGCAGACACGCTTTTTCTGTAAAGGGCCACCGTGCAAATATATCAGGTTTTTCAGGCCATAAGGTCTCACTCACATCCATTTAACCCTGCCTTGTAGCTTGAAAGCAGCCTCAGGCAATTCATCAAATAACAGAAATGTATTGTGTTACAGTTCTTTGGGTCAGAGGTCCGAGACAGCTCTAACCAGGCTAAAAATCAGGGTGTTGGCAGGGCTGCGGTTCTATCTGGAGGCTCTCAGGGAATATCTATCTGCTTGCTAATTGGGGTTGTTGGCGGAACTTGGTTTCTTGTGGTTGTAGGACTGAGGTTCCCCATTTCCTTGCTGTCAGCTGAGAGCTGTTCCCAGCTTCTAGAGTCACCTGCATTTCTGGGTTTATGACCTCTTCCTCCCTCTCCACAGCTACCGGGAGTGAGCTGAGTCCCTCTGCAGACTCGAAACTCTCCCCTTCCTTCTGTCCTATCTCTCTGACAGGCTGTCATTCAGTATAATCTCCCCATCTCAGCGTTCATAACCTTAATCACATCTGCAAAGGCATGCAAAGCAATGTATTCATGTAAAGTCATATGTTGCCACGTAAAGAAATATACTCACAGGTTCCGAGAACTAGGGCACAGGCTTTTTTGAGGGCCATTATTCTGCCTCACAAGACTACATTCCAATAAAACTTTATAAAAACAGATGGTGGGCACTATTTGGCCGCAGGGCTTTCTTTACAGACCCGGACATATGTGTGTATATATGTACCAGCCTGTATTAAACACAATGTAATACTTCTCCTGCACTCACTGTTCATTACTGAAGTGGGAAAAAGTTAGCCTGAGAAATCTCTAATATCATCTTCTGTGGAAATATAACATTTCCAACACACAAGCTGATAGAATTTCGTGTTAATGTTCAAACTCAATTTCAACCGTTCTGTGTTTTCAACAGAATCTCCTAAAATTTTGCCTAGAACTAGTGGCTATTTGCTAACTGAGTTAAGGGGCATTGGCTGATAGGCGGCTATTTAAGGAAACACGGTTACAGGTGGAATTTCTGAATGAGGCCTCACTGAATCCCTCCCCAGGTGTCTGGTCCCAAGATGCAATATATTCAAAGCTGAGCATCTCAACAGCCCTGAATCAAGTAGAATAATGAAGGAATTCTACCTGAATTTTGAAACTCCCAGGTTCCAGCAAGGACAGTATGCATGTTTCTGTTGATGAACCACACCTTTGGCAAGAGCCCAAGACAATTTCTGGTTTAAGCATTTTTTTTTCAGATAATTCCTCATTTAATTACACTTCTTTGATATACCATTAGAATATACTTTATTTTCCAGATTTATTTATTTATTTATTTACTTATTTATTTTTACCAAGACCTGGAGCAACAATTTTTATTCTCCTGCAGGAATGGTGCTGTGGCTCCCGCAAGACTCAGCAGCGGACTTCACAGGCACATGGGACCCTTAGACGCTGTGTTGATTTCTTTCTTCTGTTCAGCTGCTCCAGAAGCTGCACTGTCCGTGACAGCAGTGAAGATAGCTGACTCAGGGGAGCGGAGTGAGTGCTATAATACGGGCACTCCACAGGGTACAGTGCTGGCCTACACTTGACCAATGTCAGCTCCATCCTGACTTAAATTGCCCAGGATCTTGCTTCCTCCTGCATTTTCCATGTCAGTTAGTCGGGTACAAGTCAAATGTGTCTGTCCCTGCCCCACCCAGCTCTCCGCTTGAATCTTTCCTGCTCCCGAATAAGTTTACAGAATCACAATGAAACACCTGCCATAGCTCCATTGTCTGAGGCTCGGGGTAATATCGACGGTCCATTTATTGTAACTCTGCTTAACGTACTATTTGGAAAAACATTTGCTTACTAACATCAGCAAAGCCAAATGTTGGCTGAAGTTATTAGATCCCCGGGCCACTGCACTTCGAAGTAGGAACATCACTGGGAAATGAGAGGACACCTCTATTTTAAGAAGTGCTTTAATGAAGTCAGAATCTCCTCTCTAAGAAGACCTTAATGGCTTACTGTGGCATCATTAGGTTAAAGGATCCTGAAGTTCTTTATTTAGTGCATGTATCTTTTCTATGGCATTAAGGAGCTGGAGCAACAGTTTCAAATTGTATGTGTATGGGTGTATTTTAATAGCAATTTGCTTATGTCATTTTTTTAAATGTATGGTATTTCATTTATGATCTGTGGTTTGGGGCAATATTATTGTTTAGCCACAGATTAAAAACATTTAGTGACTTCCCTTGCCTTAATTTCCCCATCTATAGAATGGGACAGTAGCAAAGTATACATACATTATAGATTAACTATATAGGACAGTGCAAAAGTAGGTTTACAGTTGCTCAAATAATTAATAAATAATAATACAAGAATAAACTCTTTTGCATACTTAAAACTGTAAACCTACTTTTGTCCACCCTGTGTAACCCATCTTCTGTGACTTGAACTCCTTGGGACAGTATGATTTCATAAATGGAAAATGCATAGAGATTTATGCAATACCTATAAATTTTTTCTTAAAACTTGTTTACATATGGTTTATTTACACATGTTTTTACTACCACTTTTCCCAAAGATGTACTATATATTTCTGTATATTTTATAAAGATTTTCCTTTTTAGGTTATATTTTTAGAATATTTCAGAAGTATACATTTATATCTTTATACTAGTATTTGAATAAATATATACATATTGCTGAAGTAAGTATAAGCGTTCTTCCTGCTGTGAAATTATTTTTAGAATTTTAAATCCATATGTTGTCAGAGTTCATCTGTGTATCTTTTTAGAATTCTCTGAAAGTAAGAATAAAGGTTTTAAAGTTTGACAGATGTTTCCCCTTCATTGCACTTGTTACAAAGAAATTTTAATTTTCAAATGTTGTCTTACTAGAAAAATTCTCAGGTGGTCATTTCACGAGCTGTGTATCACAAAACCTACCTTTACGAAAATCCGGATCAATAACAAAATGATCATTTGAGTGGCAAAATAATTTTCCCTTTTATGCCGCTTAAATACTTTTCCAGTCCATTGCTTCTTTCCCCACCACCTGGACCTCAGCAGAAACTCCCAGCTGACCTCCATCTTGCCTCCCTCCAGTCTGTTCCTCGTCCCACTGCCATGTTGGTCTTTTCAAGGCCCAAACCTCATCGTGTCTCATGTCTGCTTCTGTGGCTTCCCACTGCCTTACGAAAGCCAGTTCCTCCAGCTGGACTTGGGTGTCCTGTGAAGGAGGCCCCCTGACCCACGGGCACCAGACCACTCACCCTGGATGCCCCAGACTCCGGCCACACCAGCTCCTTCTATCTCTATCTGCTGTCCTTCCTCCTGGCATCTTCCTCTGCCTCTTTCCTTCTCCCTCTCTGCACCCTCAGAGTCCCCCTCAAGCTTCCTGCAGGAAGCTTCCTTGATGACCAAGATCTCTACAAGCTGATCTGGGACCAGGGTTCATTAGAGAAGTGATTCCCGGGACACCTGTGAGGGACAGGAAAGGAGCCAAAGGAGGGTGCCATTTAGCGCAGGGCGGGGGGGGGGGGGGCCGCGAGGATGGGGAGGGAGCAGCCTCAGCCTGATCCTGGGAGCTCAGAGTGTAGCTTACAGTGACAGCCCTGTCCTGTTTGCTCTCCTGGTGGCCAGGCATCCGGGCTGCACCGCGGGGATGTGAACTCCCAGGTACTCTAACTCTCACCTGTCCATGCAAAACAGCCACAGCAGGTCTGTGAGGAGGGCTCATCAGGTGCCAGCCAACAGGAGCGAAGCATTGGAAGCTAGGGGGATGCAACAGCAGTGTCAGCTACCCCTCGCTTTCCTGAGCACGTGGCCTAGAGTGGACGCTGACCAACGGCGTTGTATTCATGATCATAATAACTGGTATTTACTAGTATTGACTGCTCTGCACCCGATGTCCTTGTGAGCACCTGATACACACGAATGCATGAGTCCTCACACCCGCCATATGGCTGGGATTAGAATTCCCCTGAGGAAACGGAGAGGGTGGTGGCTCCAGGGTCTGTGCCCTGCCTCCCACAGCACCTCCCTCTCCTTCCTAACTCCCCATGATGGTGTGTTGACGTGATGTGTGTGATTATGTGACTGATACCACCTACACATACATCTCACACACACACACACACACACACACACACACACGAATGTAGGTGTGATGAGGACAGGGGCTTGTTTGCCACTGTCCCCATGATACCTGGCTTGGAGCTCACAATGGGCTCTAAGCAAATGTTTTTCTCCACCTCATTGCCCTTCTTGGTAACATTTGCAGCAGCCCTTTGCACAGCTGTTCCTCCCACTGCCTACCATTCCTCAAGGGCTTCCCAGTGCCTGACCCATCACCAGCGAGAGCAGGACGCGCTTCCTCAGAAGGCCGAGGAGAACAGATCCCTTTCGGGGACTGAAGGCTGTAGATGAAATATGGTGGATATAGAACATTAATATACAGTATTACAAAATTATGACATTTAATCTAGATATTAAATGTAAGTAAATATAAAATGTAATGCATAATAAAACATATGTGATATATGTAACTTTTTCCCCTGAGTTCTTCCATGAGTCAGACGCACCTTCAAATACCTTAGCTCACTTGCCCCACACAACAATTGTGATGGTTCATTTTAGGCATAGACTTGGCTAAACTCTGGTGCCAGTTTTGACCCTTCCCAACACCTTGACCTAACATTCCTCACACGGCCTTGCCAGGGACCTGGGAACCTTCCCATTCTTAACAGGCTCAGAGAAGTCAAATATCTCGCTCAGGGAAACACAGTAAGCAGAAACCCTAGACACAAACCCCGATCTCTGACTCCGCAGCCCCTGCTCATTCCCCTACACCTTGTGTCCTGTCTATTAACCTATCAGCAAATATTTAGCTTAAGCCTGTTGTTCGAGCCAAGGCTGGCTGAAAGCCAAAGCTCCATTTATGATTCAACCTAATTTGTTGAGCTTTCTCTAATCTCCTGGGTTGGACATTGATCCAAATGACTTAATCACTTTTGCTGCCCATGACTGTTCTGCCCTGCAAACCTCCCTTTATCAGCAAAACAAAATATTTGCAGAATCTTCATCGTCAGGATGCTTTGCACCTGGGCCTTCCAAGCAGCGCAACTCCCAGGACCGAACGAAGCTTTAGAATTAATGAAAGGATTTGCACAGTAGGTGCTTTTCCGTCCCAGATTCATTTTGCTTTAGTGAAAATGAGTGTGAGGTACTTTCTACACATGCTGAGCAGCGAGGTGAGGAAGAAAGAGGTCTCGAAGTCAACGTTAATATTGAGTCCAGAGTTGACGGCATGTGGCTGAATGACAAATGCTTTGTAATTGTTTTTCATTTCATTGGTTTCCTTTTTGAGAAGATGTTTTCCTCTTTCAGTTCATTTATTGTTGATTCTTCTTCATTTATTATAATTTCCCCCGATCTCTTTATACCAAGTGACATCTATCAGAAGCCAGCAGGTGTCCTCTGGTACTTGCCAACACCTGTAGATTGGTGATGGCTGCCTGAAACTCAGTATTGAGAAGGATTCTGAAGTTGAGTCCAGACACACAGGAAGAGAATCCTAACTTTCCACAGTGCCTGCCAACAGCCTGTGTTATGTATTTGCCCATCTATACACAGTATTTTCTGAGTGCCAAACTTGGAGATATGTAATGAGAATAGCTTACATTTATTAAGCACTAACTGTGTGCTTATATTACATTGATTTTTTCAGTGTGTTTTTATTAAGGGTGCATAAGTGCTCCCCACAATATACGTGCAAGATGAATTTTGCAACTAATAATTTTTATTACTGATAATGCATATGTTTACAATTAGCTTCTGGTAATACTAGTTCTTTTTAAATTTCTAGTGGTATTATTAAACTTGCTTTGTAAATAAGTTGATTTACATTTTAAAGGCAAAATTATGTAAGTGAATGATATTTTAGGAGGCATACAAATTAGACAACAAGCATGAACATGGCACAAGAATGGCGGAAATTTGGAACATCTGGAATTTAATAATCCTGTGATGATGGTGTGAGTAGACTTTGCATATTCGATTGAGGAAATTGAGGCTTGGAGGTTAATAAGATGCTTAAGGTTCATGGAACTAGTATGTGATACAGCCAGGATTTGAACCCAGGAAATCTGACTGAAGAGACCAAACACTCAGTTGGCCCCCCATGTTCCCTATTGCCTGGTAGTCACATCTGGGTGTAACCCCCACCCCTTGAGTATGGGCAAGACCAGTCACTTGCTTTTACTCAATAGAATATGTATAGGTGATGGGATGTCACTCACCTGATTGTGTTATGGAAGATGCAGCATCTCCCCTCCCAGGATACTCTCTCCTTTGCTGGTTCTGATGAGTAGGCAGCTATGTTGGGGAGACCCACATAGCAAAAACTGAAGGCAGTCTCCTGTTAAAAAAGAAAGTAAGAAAGAAACCCATTAAGTCTTGGATTAACCATCAGAACCAGCAACATGCACCAATTATCCAATATCTATTAAATCCTTCTCTATTAAAGTCCATACTAAGGATAAAGGAATTCTGTTCTCATATTACAAGAGTTGATTCTTTTTTTAAAATTTATATTTATTGTTGAAAATATTACAGATGTCCCTTTGTTTGTTTTTGTTTTTTTCCCATTGACCCCCTCCACCCCACACACTCTCCTCCCAGGTCTTCACCACACTATTGTCTGTACATGGGTTATGCATATATGCATATAAGTTCCCTGGTTAATCACTCCCCACCCACCTACCCACCCCCACCTTCCCTCTGAAATTCATCTGTCTGTTCCATGTTTCTATGTCTCTGGATCTATTTTATTCATCAGTTACAAGAGTTGATTCTTATTCCCACCTTGAAATTCTCTTTCCTCGCAGTGTAATTCACTAGGGGGACAAGCTTGGATTTAGTTATTTTTAACATCTAAATTGCAGAAAATTATCTGAGGTCACTGTTCTCAAATACTTTCATAATTTTTAATTCCAGGTACATTTTAACTGTAGGAAAACCCCATGAATGAGTTATCTTACTTCTCATTGAAAATGAATAAATGAAAGCAAGGAAGAAAACGTGAAAGTGAGTAAGCAGAGAGGCACCAATGTTTGAGACATCAATGAAGTGGATTCCATTTTTGACTGAATAACAGAGGCAGATTATTAATTAAAATGAGCAATGAAAACAATAAGGCCACTAAGATGAGCTCACGATTGCCTTCTAGAAATACAGTTGCCCAGATCATAACTACAGAGACAGCAGGAAACAACAAATATGTGGCCATCGTGTTCTCAATGAGGTTCCTGAGACTAATTCCATCTTTTTTGTTGTTCCTCCAGTTTCCGGATAAAGGTGCTGAGTCCGACTTTGGACAAGCATTAAGCCAACCTGCCAAATCTTTCCAAGGTTCACTAGCAAGTGACCTGAAAAAAATTCATATTAAGGCTTTAAACGTCTACAAGTGCCGGAAGAGCTTAAAATAGTTAACTCATCAACCAGCCCAGAATGAACCTAGGATAAGCTTGTGTAGCATGTTCCTTGCTGAGACCAGAAAAAGAAAAGAAAAAAAAAAGTAGGAAACAACTTCATTTGAGGAAACTACTGTATGGGTCAATAATATCAAACTTCTTAGGTCATGAATGGCCATGGTAGCTATTCATGTTCTGCCAGATCTGGTGAAATCATATTTTATCCCTAATTTCTAAATAACTTTGATCAAGAAATCTGGGAAGTTCGCAAAGTTACACTAGTTTTCTCAAATGAACTGGGTAACTTGCCTTTTTTTTCTATTTTCAGAAAAACTTTGGGTTATCAGTACCTTAAAAGGGA